AAAGACTTTTTATCAAAAAGACACTTGCATTCCAATGTTTTTTGCAGGACTACTCACAGTCACAAAGATGTGGAAACAGCCCAAGTGCCCATCAGGTCATGAATGGATTAATAAAATGTGGTATATGTATACCATGGAGTACTACTCAGCCATAAAAAATGAATTAATACCTTTTGTAACAACCTGGATGGAACTGGAGATCATTCTCCTAAGTGAAGTATCTAAAGAATGGAAAAACAAATATCCATGTACTCACTATTAAATTGGAACTAATGAATCAGCATTAATGTGCACACATGGAAGTAAAACTCAACAGTAATAAAGCAGGTGGGAGGAGAGAGAAGGGTATTGGTGAAATCATACCTAATGGGTACAATGTACACTATCTGAGTGATGGGCACACCTATAACTTTGCATTAAACTGTACAAAAGAAATTCATGTAATGTTTTGTTTATACCCCCCAATATTATGAAATTTTAAAAAAGAAAAGAAAAGACAATTCTTTCAAACAGCAATAAAACTTGAAAATAATGCCACTGAAGCAACTTATAAAGTAGCTTATATACTCAGGAAAAAAGGGAAGACATTCAATGACGAAGAAATTGTGAAAGAATGCATTGTTGAAGTTGTAGGATGTTTAGACCACAATAACATTTCAAAGTACAAAAAACTGTCTCTTTTAAGGAGAACCATAACTGAACAGTAGCATGAATTAGCCTTCAACTTAACAGAACAATTTCATGCAATACTTCAAAAGGAAAATACATATTCAATTGCTTTGGATTAATCAATTGATACTACTAACTTGGCACAGGTTTTATACTTCATTTGGGTCATAACAGAAGATTTTCTTTGCTATGAAGAGTTACTTGCTTTGGGCACTCTCACAGAGAGAACACAGGGAATAGATATCTTCAACAACTTTCAGGATAAATGTCATGAAGTTGGACTGAATTTGGTTAATTTAGTGAGTGAGTGTATGTATAGCTGGTGAACCTTCTGTGACAGGAAAACATCAAGGGTTTATTGCACAGATAAAAAAAGTATTAACGGATCCAGATGCTCTTATTTCTTTTCATTGTATCTTGCATCATCAAAATCTCTGTGCTAAAGCTACTATTTCAAGTAACACTTTGCAACAAGTTCTAAGTATTGTTAACTATATTCATGAAAATGTAACATGGCATTGCCAGTTTTGTGACATGCTAAAGTTGAATGATGATGTATTCAGTGTACATTTCCCTGAGGTATTCAGTGTAGATTTGCCATATTGTTCTAAAGTGTGTCAGCTATCGCAGGGACAGGTGTTAGTCCAAATTTTATCTCTGTGAGAAGAGTTAGTTAAATTTTATCAAGAACAGAATCAGCAATGTGAATGAAAGAAGATTTCTTTCAATTTTTAGGAATGTAGCATTTCTGTTTGATATCATGTCACATCAAAATGACTTCAATATTTCTTTGCAAGATAAAACTAAGTCTACGTACGATATGTGGCAAAAAAATCCAAGCATTTTGAAAAAAAGCTATCTTTTTCCAAAACACTTCTTCAAAAGAAAATTTTAGATGAACATTTTCCCCAGTTAGCAAAGGTCATTGATGAGCAGAAAGATAAATACAAATCCTTTGAGGAATATGCAGCTTAATAGGTTATAGACCTATTAATTGGAGAATACAGTGAAAGGCTCACTGGCTTTGAGAATCATAACATCACATTCAAATTAGCATTTCAGACTCACCTAGTTGATATCACCAAGGCACGTAAGGAACTACAGATGGGATTGAGTGAGCTCTCAGTAGATAACATTTTAAAGTTATTGTTTGATCCTAAGGAAGACCCAACTGAAATATGGAAAAATACAGTAGAATACCCATGCCTGTATCAACATGCCCAAAAAATGCTTTCTTGCTTTTTAACCACTTATTGCTGTGAATCTACATTCTCCTACCTAACTCAAATCAGGACACCCTTAAGGGCAAAAATGACTGATACCCATCTAGAGGATCAACTGAAACTGCAGACCTTCATGCTGCAATGAAATATTCAAATGCTTTCCAACAAAAAGCAGACAAAACAAAGTCATTAAAAAGTTAGTTAATTTTAAAATTAACAAGTACTTTTCATTTTTTGAAATTATTAAGTACATAATAGAGTTTTACAAAATAATGTACATTTTGAAGTACATCTAATTGAAGTTTCTTGAATGTGGCCTTATTTGATTACAGCTAACTTAATGTGGCCTTCCAATATGAGAAGTTTCCCTACCCCTGTCCTATATGCTCTCTACCTGGAGAAAGCATCGGATCCCAGAGGTTAAGGACTCAGAACCACAGATAGGTCCCCACTTCAGGCACCAGTCACAAGTTCAGGTCTCCAGAACTTCTGACAGACTGGCTATAAATTGAGGTTCCCACAATCCTCTCCTCAGGTTTGATTAATTTGCTAGAGCAGTTTATAATGTTTACCCACTTGTTATAAAGGATACAGATGAATAGCTAGACGAAAGAGACACACAAGGCATAGCATGAAACAAGGGGTGTGGCGCTTCCATGCCTTCTCTAGCCATATAATCCTGCAGGAACCTCCATGTGTTAAGCTATCGGAAAGCTCTCTGAACCCTGTTCTTTTAGGTTCCTGTGAAGGTTTTATTATTAGGCATGATTGATTAAATTATTGGCCATTGATGATCAACTAAACCTTCAGCCTATCTCCCCCCACCCAGAGGCTGGGAAGTGGGGCTGAAAGCCCTAACCTTCTAATCATGCCTTGGTTTTTCTGGTGACCAGTCCCCATCCTGAATCTGTTACTATCTAGCCCCGCCCCCCACCAGTCATCTCATTAGCATACAACAGACGTGCTTATCCCTCTGGAGATTGCAAGGGTTTTAGGAGCTGTATATTAAGAAATAGAGGAGAGGGAAGAATGAAGACCAAATATATATTTTGCGATTTCACAGACCAACCCTGCCTTACACCTTGATCTCGAACTTCTAGTCCCCAGAATTGTGAGAAAATAAATTTCTGTTGTTTAAGCCACCTAGTCAGTGGTACTTTGTTATGGCAGCCCTAGCAGACTCACATATCTGCTATTACCAGATCCATTCTACATGGCATTGAAGATTCTAAACAACACAATGATAGATAGATACATTGAATGAATGAATGATAGATAAGAAATAAAATTGTCACTATGATAACTTTATTATTATATACATAAAATTTCAAAGGAATCTACCATTGAATTATAAAAATTACTAAGATAATTACAAAATTTGCAGAATACAAAATTAGTGAATAAAATTTGATCCTTTTCACACAAGCCAGAAATATTTAGAAAAATACTTTTAATAAGCATATAATTTATATAACCCAAAATAAATAAGATTCTCAGAACAAATCTTTTAAAATAATATATGAGACCATTATGAAGAAAATTATATTTAAAGTATTGAATGACATGAAAGAAAATCAAACTATCTGTGGAAATATTAATAAATTGTGTTCAGAGCTAGGAAGACTCAATATTATAAGGTTTCAATTCTTTCAGATTAATATAAAGAGACAATGCAATTGCAAAAGATTTACATAGAACTTGATAAGCTGATTCTAAAATCTATATGAAAGTGCATATGGCCAAATGTAGCTAAAATACTCTGGAAGAATAAAAATAAGTGGAGTGGGAGGGAGTTACTTTTCCAGGTTATCAATAATTCAGAAAGTGTAGCATTGATGCAGATGTAAAGAAACAGATGAATAAAAGAATGAGGAACTTGCAAACAGATTCATGCATATATAGAAATTTAGTATATGATAGAGTAGGAATTGCAGGCCAGTGAGAAATAATAGGTAAACTAATAGGTAAATATTGTTAAGTCAACTAACTTATCCCATGGAGAAAAAAAAAAAGAAATATCACTACTATTTCACTATACATACAAGAAGCAAAGGCAATGAAAAAATACAGATATTCAGTTTAAGACTAGTACCTTGTCACCATGACCCTCCTTTTAATTTCTGGAACAGTTACAACAAAAATACATGAAACCTGATTCTCAAGTTTCTTCTAAGTCTAGACAGGTTTTAGAACTCTGGAGAAGATCCAAAAAGAAGTAGATGGAGAATATTGAGATTTCCATTTGACTCCAGAAAGTTTTCATCGTTGTGTAGGTGAGATGACTAAAAAAATAAAAAATAAAAACAACTAAAGTCCATTAAAATAACTAGTTTAAATAGTAAACAATTATTTCAAGGTAACTGATGAGAATGTTTTTTTCCCCAAAAGATACTCCAAACTGTTTCTTCCTGTAGGTGGATAAAAGCAAGTCACCTTAGAGCATTCATTGAAAGGCCCCTTTTTTAACACAAATGTTTGATGAGTAGGACTCTATTGCCCTATGGAAAGGGCAACACAGGACATTCAATGGTGACACTAAAGCACCTTCTCACTGCTCCCATGGCATGCACAGCTCTCACGAGAGAGTGAGGAGTCTTCTGGTAGAAATGAGATCAAGTATCTCACTCTCTTGCTTTTCAGGTGCAACATTATTAGAAACTAATGGAATAAGATTGCCTGCAGGTAAGAAAGAAAGTAAAAGTCTCCTTAAAGGGGAATTCATCCTGCGGGCAGCGGGAGAACAGGGAGGAGGGTCTTGGCTCTACATCAGGGTCTAGTTGTTCCAGGGCAGAGATGGTTCCAGCAGAGCTGCCATGTGCCTGAATGTGCCTCTGGATTCAATAGTGACTTGAAAAACAATTCCTCTCCATCAGGGTATAAACTAAGAAAGACTAAAATCGGAACTCTTGGCAAGGATTTCAGTCAGTAAAGTTATAATGATAACAAATAAAAATCCATCAAACTAGTGGTGTCATTCCTCATTAGAGACATACGTGCAATGAGAACAAAAACAAAGGCAGCCTAAAAACGGATGCCCAAAGCCACGCAAACCACTCACCCATTCAGGACAGATGGGTGGATTGCTGATAATGAACAGGAAGGAGAGCATTGAGCGGGCAATCGGAAAACTGAAAAAACATAAGGGGCAGGACCATATTAGTACCCTGAAACAGTGAAGCTTGTTATACCAGTTACATAATAAAGCAGCTCATACTTGAAAAATGAGCCAAGAAAAGCACTCAGGTAAAATTGCTTCTCTTGTAAGTTGCTAACAGCGATCCATTGTTTTGAGTCTTAATTTTCTACGTAGGTTACATTGGTGTTGATCTGAGGGCTGTTAATTTGCAACCCATGATCAAAAGCTGTGTGCGTACCTGTGTGTGTGTGTGTGTGTGTGTGTGTGTGTGTGTGTGTGTGCGCGCGCGCGCGCGTGTTTCCGGGGCTTCAGAAAAGTCTGCCGTTAAGACCCTATTTTTACCTCGTCAGTTCTCTCCCAGGGCCGTCGTGGGCCGGGCTGTTAGTCTTCTCACTGCTCAGTTCACTGCTGAAGGATTCCCCACAGCCTTCAATCTCCCTTTCTGCCAGCGAAACAAAACAGGAAAAAAGAGACACAGAACTTTTGTGTTCAGAGGACAGAATTTCCTCTCACTGTTTTCACTAAACAAACAAAAAAAAAAAACACCACCACCACCAACAAAAAATCTTTACTTTATCCTTAAAGACTGTACAGCTTTTATTCAGTAAACACGTTCATCAGCTTTTTAGCAAGAGATTAACTATGTATAACCTGAAATTTTATGTTATGAGTATCTTTTAAAATCATCTAAAAATATCAACTTTTAAGGCTCTCCCAGCAAGAATTTCTCAAAATTTTTTCTCAGAGATTGTCAAGACTAGCTTGGAAAATGAAGCAACAAACAAATAAAGAAACAAACAAATCACCTAGCTGGGGAGAGACTGCACAATGTGACAGCTGTACAGACACACACATCTCGGCAGTCTGTATATGCAACTGCCTAATGACACAAATATTTAGATTCTTCACTTCTAACCCCAATGCCTATGATGTTATCTACACAAACCGAAGGACACATCCGTCCCTGCTCCCTCGTGGCTTCAGCCATCTCCTCCTTTAGCCAGTGCAGTGAACGCACCATTGCCCCACTCAGACTCCCCCCTTTCGAGACTGAAGCACTCTTCCCCCAGCTTCTAGAGCATCAACAGCTGTCAAGTAACAGGGTCCCCCTACTAGGTGACTGCCCTCACCCTAAGGCAACTACCTTGCCCAAGGTTACACCCTCTTCCCAGAGTAGCCCTCAGCTGATAATTGGGCAGTGGGTACAGGAGAAGGGGTATAAAGACCAGCTCCCCTGCCAAATTCAGGATAACTTTGAAAAGTGTTTTTACTTATCCTTAGAGCTCCCTGTAGGATTGCCTAATGCATCTACTGTGATTCCCTCTGCCCAATCCTGCTTTCTTCCCTCCAGATCCATTCTGACCCTGGAGATCACCCCCTAAGGAACTCCTGGCATGCCAGTCGGGTCCACAGTTAGCTTCCCAGGGAACCTCACCTGTGACTGTAGCAGTTTCTCGGTAGGGAATGGATATATAGTCCTAAAGCCTAGTTATCTTGGGTCTCTTGGTTTTCTAAACCAGTCCAAAAGGTGAGTGATAAGGAAATTAGCAAATTCGTTAAGGCAAAATAGACAAAACATATTATACAGAAGTATGTTTTGTTTTTATCTTCATCAATTCTAAAGCATTGTTATACTTTACTATTTTTTAAAAAACAAGTTAAGGGGTTATTTTTACTGTCCTTTTTGCATAAAGGGATAGGGAGAGAAAGCCTCTATTTAATTTCCCAATGATAAAATCATAAGCCTCTAAGTAAAATTTCTCCCTAATATCTTTTTTTGTTTTTACTGCTCATTTCTTTCTACAAAGACAAAAAAATTTGTTTCTACTTTTTAAAAATTCTTTATGCAACAAGGAAGGTAGTGCCATCAGAAAGAAAGATAATAGGGTCCATCTATGTAGTTGTTTTGATATTTCAAGCAGGAATGTTCATTTGTCTTTGATGGCTCCTGCAAATTACAAGGGGAAAATAGACTGATATTTAGAGTTCTGTGAAGCAGGTAAATTACAAAAAGAAAGAATCTTGCCTAATCCTCATCAGTGCTGAATCCTCAAGGCAGTGTTGAGCACATAATAAATGTTTAATAGCACTTGTTAAATAAATACCCAAATGATGGATGTGCAAGTATATTCTTTTTTTTTTTGAGACGGAGTCTCACTCTGTTGCCTGGGCTAGAGTGCCGTGGCATCAGCCTAGCTCACAGCAACCTCAAACTCCTGGGCTCAAGCGATCCTTCTGTCTCAGCCTCCTGAGCAGCTGGGACTACAGGTGTGCACCAGCATGCCTGGCTAATTTTTTTCTATATATATTTTTAGTTGTCCAGCTAATTTCTTTCTATTTTCAGTAGAGACGGGAGTCTCACTCTTGCTCAGGCTGGTCTCGAACTCCTGAACTCAAATGATCTGCCCACCTTGGACTCCCAGAGTGCTAGGATTACAGGCGTAAGCCACCGTGCCTAGCCTGTAAGTATATTCTTAAAACTCAGAAGATAGGACTCCATTGATCCTCACTTGGAGTATATTTTCCTCATTTCTAACATGATTAAAATTATCCTCTTTTTTTTCTCCCTCCTTCCACATGATTGATGATAGGTGATAATGGCATAGTACATTTGAAAAGCACATATTCTGCCCTTTGTGTTAGAAGCATAGCCATGGGTAGAAATCAACCCAGAATCAGAGACCATGGCTGTTGTCACTGAAATGAAATTTAACACTGTTTTTTCAGATAATTAATTTGTCTGACACTCATTTCTGTCACAATTCCTCACCGTTTCGTCGTGATAATAGAAAGAGAATACACATGAAGAGATGAAAAAGATGTTCTTTGTATTCTTCCATTCTTTTTAAAAAAAAAACATTTATTACACTTCTATTGTGAGTCATACTACATTGAAGACAGAAAAATAAGGAAAGCAAAGCTCAAAGAGCTCACAGTCTAAGGAGGAAAAACACGTGGCCCACGTGAATAGTAATAGGGCAGCAATGGCAGTACAGAGCACAGTGCCTGGCAGATGGAAAAAGGCTTCCCGAGGAGGTGGCCCCACAATGGAGTCTTGATGGATGAGTTAATATTCACCAGGTGTGGAGCCAGAGGAGCTGTTCCAGACAAGAGCAGAGGAAAGGGTGGTTGGTAGTGGGAAGTGGCAGAGAGGAGTAGCCAGGAAAGATATTTAGGTGATGGTTTCACTATGACTTGGTGACGGATTGGAAATGTACTGAGTAAACTGAGCGGAACTGGAAGTGAGCTGAGAAAAGCCAACAGGAGAAGAAGAAAATTATTGTGAAAGAAAACAGGGAAAATGAATGTGGGAAAGGTCCATGTCAGGGGCCAAATTCCACCCAGGGCTTGCTTGTTTAAGGCCCATTTTTAAAGCGTTGTAAAGAGGAAGGAGGGCAACAAGGAGGAGGAAAATACGAAGACCACAAAGCCTGAAATGTTTACTGTCTGCCTTTTATAGAAAAACGTTTATTGAAATTTGGTCTAGAGGGTGAGCTTAAGATCACAGATAAAGAGGTTATTCTTATAAAAATAAGAATATTTTTTCTCTGAAATAGGAAAAACAAAAGTTAAGAATAAATGAAGTTATAGAACTTAGAAAGCAGTGAAACGAATCATTTCCTCCTTACAACCTCACCTTCTTACGGAAAAAAACATAAGGTCATCTGTTGAGAATGAATGAGAAAGATCTGTAGGGTGATGATGGTCATTTTTAAAGAAATAAACATTAAAAAATTAATTTTTAGGTGACTTACTACTATATATCCTCGAATCTTCAATAGTGCTTGGCACTTTGTTGTCATTCAATTAATATTGACTCAAAGTATTATCAAAACTTAAATACTAAAAAGGCAATAAAATGTCACCAGATTTTCCTAAACCACCAGCCTAGGGAAGGATAAGCTAGAGGATAGAAATAAAATGATCTCATCTTCCCCTCTCACACATCAAAATGCAAAGGTCAAAGAGCAAATGGCTCTCTTGAGCATGGTTCTTGAACCACACTTGTCCTCGCTACCAAATATATTTTGTTTCCTAGAGGACTACCAACAGCAGTGGACAAGCTTTCTCTGCAAACGGCCAGCACAGAGAACTACCATAAAGATGTGACTAATGTGAGTTGATGAACCTTCTGAGCGCACCCTTCTCTGGACAACAGGTAGTCACAGCATCCTTAGTGCCATGGGGATACATTTGGCAAAGAAAACCTCTTCCTGAGAGGACGCCTGCTTGGCCCACATTCTCAGACCACAGTCATAAGCCATTTTAATGTCCTTTAAAATAGAACTCCCTTTTGCTGCTCACCATAACCTGTGGCAAGATTCCTCATTCTTCATCTTCTTCTGGTATTTCTTTCCCTCAGAGATCTCTTTCTGCAACTCTGCTCCTCCCCTTCCAAAGTTTAGTCAAGAAAATTAGAAGGCAAGCCACAAAGTAGGAGAAAATATTTGAGAAAGACATATCTGATAATGGACTCTTATCCAAAGTATACAAAAAATTCTTAAAACTAAACAGTAAAAAATGAACTTGATTAAAAATTGGCAAATGATCTGGGCAGATACCTCAGCAAAGAAGATATACAGATTGCAAATAAGCATATGAAAATATGCCTCACATCATATGTCATCAGAGAAATGCATATTACAACAACAAGATACCACTGCACACTTATTAGGATGGCCAAAGTGCAGAACAATGACAAAGCCAAATTCCGTCAAGGATACAGAGCAACAGGAACTCTCATTCATTGCTGGTGGGACCGCAAATGGTATAGTCACATTCAAAGACAATTTGGTGTTTTCTTACAAAATTAAACATACTCTTATACAATCAACAATCACAGTCCTGGTTATTTACCCAAATAAATTAAAAATTTATGTACACACACAACCTGCACTCAGATGTTTATAGCAGCTTTAACCATCATTGCCAAAACTTGAAAGTAACCAAGATGTCCTTCACTAAGAAAATGGATAAATAAACTGTGGCCCATCTGTACAATAGAATATTATTCAGTAATACAAAAAATTGAGCTATTCAGCCACGAAAAGATATAAAGACCAGTTTCCGGTCTGGCATGTAAGGTGCTTATAAGTCACTACTCCATTCTAAAAAGAAACAAAAACCTGAATAAATCCAAAAAATCAACAACTCTTCTTAGATCCATCAGAGAAATGAGGTCACAGGCCAAACTGCTGTCCCAAAAACTAGAAAGACAGACAAGAGAACACAGAGAATCACCACTTACCAGAAAACCACAAGAAGAAACCTCTCCAGGAATCACTGCCACAGTAGGAACACCTGAACTATAATTAACAAATTTCTGGAGGCTGCAAGTCTGAGAAATCAGAAACTTCAGGGGAACCTAGTCCATAGGGGTCCCTCACACTTTTGTGAGTTTTAACTCCAGGAACTCTACCAGATTTTACAGTGAATATCAGA